TTAGCCTAAAGAGAACAAACAGGAAAGAAAATAGATAGAAATTAAAATAAATACTAGAGCTGCAGAGGAATGCCAGACCTCCACTCACTACCAACCGTGTACAAATACACAAACAGCCTTTGAAATGCTAAAGCAACTCATTTTGGACTGCAGCAAGTACACTATACATGTATCAAACTAACACAGCATCAATGAAAGGACTATAGTCATAAATTCAGTTTGCAACAATATTTTCCTACTGGCTCATAAACTAGAACAACAGGCAGTTGGCCCAGTGCGGGTCACTCACACCGGCTGAAAAAACACTGCGGCCATTAGGAAGCCATTATCTGCCCCTCTTTATAGAGCTCAGGGGCAGACGCTGATCTTTGGCCTCTGTAAAGATGCAGACCTGTTAGTTTAAGGCCAGAGGTGGGCTCAGGTCTAAATCTGGACCCAGGGCAGGGGGCAGAAGGCAGGGGGCGGGAGGCAGGGGCTGGGGGGCAGGAGGCCGGGGCTGGGGGCAGGGCGGTAAATGTTGAGTGGTTTTGAGGACTTAACTTCATTGTAGTGAAATAATCTGTTGGACATGCAAGAGGCGAGAGAGTGAAGGGTGAGGGAGTGATGAAAAGGGTCAAAAATAGCTCAAATTTGGAAACACACATCTTAATTCTAGCACATTCTGACCACCTTAATGTTTTATAAGTGAACAATTTTCTCATGAATGATGAAGATAGCGACTTAAGGTAGTGAGAACATTTAAAAAAGGCTTCCTGAGCATACAATCAACTAAAATGTCTCTGTTCTCACAGTATTGCGAGGTAGTTTTTCTAATGGACAGTCCTTACAAAGTTTATTTCTGTTACTCCATCATGAAAACCACACAGACAAAAGCAGGTTATTTTTGTTATGATTTAGAAATTGTAGTTTGTGTAAAAACATATTAAAACTTCATCATTTCTGTCCTCTTCCCCTTGCTTTTCTTAAGTCTCGAACACGCTGAACTGGGATCAAACTAAAGACACATTGGTTAAAGTTGAGCCTATTTAAAATGACTTTAATGTTGTCCTGTTTTATTGTTAGCAAACAACTCCAGTTCTGTCCATCTGCGCCGTGCTGACTCTACACATCTGTGCAGAAGCAGAAGCCGAGGGCGAAGGAAAGTATTCATATATTTGAACCACATCAGCAAACAGGAAAAAACAGAGACTACAAACACGTGCTACACACCAGAGATTATTCAGTCTGAGTTCGCTGAGTCTGAGCTGCAGAAAGTCTGAAAGTCTGAAAGTGCCCTGACTTTTGCAACATTCTCTTTGAGTATTAACAAAAAGCATAAAGATAATGTTTACTGCACTTTATTGTTGTTGTATTCCTGTACTTTTTACCTTGTTTTACTTATGTACATTTTCAGTGCAACAATGGGCTCGTTTGTGTATTCAAATAAGGTTTTACTGCAAATGGCAAAGGAAATGAATCTGAAAATAGACCCTGTTTGGCGGTGCTCTGATCGCTGTGGTCCCACATGTGGCCTCATCACATCTCCAAACTGTGATTCTGAATAAAATTGTTTTCATACATGCAGCATTAGAATAACTTTTTAGAGGAATTTACAAGAATGTTGATTCACAAACAATAAGATAAGATAAGATATACTTTATTGATCTCACAGATTAGAAATGGACACATCTGGATTGGAAAGAAACACTCAGACTGTGCAAAAGTAAGAAATACGAAAACATGTTAAATGCAGGATATATTATGTACAATAAAAAGTGTCAATATATCAGAGAATCAAACCATTGTAACACCTCCTTTGGGTTATTTAAATCCCATTTATCTAGATACCTTACAACCCTGTTCATGTTACTAGCTGTTTTCAATTTTTTGTTATTTTATTTTCTTTTGTAAATACCTGTATGTACATTTTAAGTTGTATAAACTACCTGCTGCTGTTTTAAGTTGTATAAACTACCTGCTGCTGTTTTAAGTTGTATTAACTACCTGCTGCTGTAAAGACTGTATCTGACTTTTTGTATATTGTAAAGATGTATATTTTCTGTAGTAGTATTATTATACTGTATGTAGTATTATTATACTGTATGTAGTATTATTATACTGTATGTAGTATTATTATACTGAATGTAGTATTATCGTGGGGGCTGGAGTGGGATCGTAGCAAACCTGTGTGTGTTAAATGTTGTTAGTATTGTATTGTATTATTGTGTTTGTTATATGTTCATGGGACCCTCTCAAAAAAGACATGCTGCATCTCAAAGGGCTTTCCCAAAATAAATTCAAGTCAAATCAAACACAAGAAATGCAATAATAAAACAAACACACAGGATGCATTTGTCCGGGGGATGACCATAAATGTCTCAAATCCTCATTCTTTCATACACTGCACCAGAAACCACTACATGTGCCTCACTACCAGCTTTTTTCCTCCTTCTCAAGAGTTTTATGAGGAACTTTTGCATGTTTAAGTCATGTTTTTCAAGACCGCATCACTCGGACTGTCCACATTTTGACACACTGCACATAATACAAAACATGTGGCTTTTACCTCAACACAAACTCTAAAACAATGACACACACACACACACACACACACTTTTCCGATAGACTCTATTTCACAACCTGCTCCAAAAGCGAGATAACCTTTCAACAGGAAACTTGTAATGTTTGTTTATGTGACTTCAGCCAGAATTTCCAACATAATTCAGAACAATAAACAAGGCGTAATGGAGACGATACAGAGACGAATCCAACATGTCATTTAAGAGGTGGCAAGTGAATTTCCCAAATAACTTTCAATTATTTCTAAAATTCAAGACTTTTTCTGGGTCAAAGTTATAGAAAACATATGTCTTATAGCACTGCAGTTACTCAATGCTGAATAAACATGTGTGTTTTATGTACAGTTTGACAGTTCTGAATTACATCACGGTATAAATGCAATAAGTGGATGTTATTTTGAAGAATATGTCATTGTCGATAAAACAAGAGTGGACTGAGCTCATGGACAGGAGAGTGTTGCAGATCCGTGGTTTTGATATAAAGTCTGGACGAAAAACCTGCTTTTGGGACCGGACCAAATGACCCACATGAAACTGGACCAGTATCAGTGAGAAAGATCTGAGTAATATAGAATTGAATATGGATGTAAGTAAGTAAGTAAGTAAGTTTTAATTTATATACCGCCTTTTCACTGCAGATCTGAGTCTCAAAGCGGTTTACAATTGTTAATTTTTGGGCATTTGTCTCTCACTCCACACAGAGATGGGAGCGGTCGCCAGTACAGGAGGCACATGCCAGAACTATTGGACATATTTTTAGTGGTAGGGGAAACCGGAGTCCCCGGAGGAAACCTACGCAGACACGGGGAGAACATGCAAACTCCACTCAGAAAGGCCCTGGTCCGACCGGGATTCGAACCCAGGACCTTCTTGCTGAGAGGCGAGAGTGCTATCCACTCAGCCACCGTGCCGCCCGATGTCCACATAAACTCGACTTTACGGCCACTGTATAAAGTTATGTGATTTTTGAGTGCTGCTGTTCCCTGGTGTGTACAGACCATAGACTGTAGAGGAAGAAGAAGAAGGTCCTTTAATCATCCCACAGTGAGGACATTTCAGTTTGATGAATACACATCAAGGCATGCAGCGAATATCACTTCCGCGCGCCTATAGACAAAGTGGGTTAAGTGCCTTGCCCAAGGACACAACGATAGCAGATATCATTGAAGAAGGTATCGTGGTGGTTTCAAACTCACAACCTTCAGCGTCAATCTCCAATGCTCTACCAACTGTACTAACTGTTCTAATACTCAACTACTTTTTTGTGCATGAGTTAGCCGGCACAATCCCCATCATTCAAAAGTCCACAGCAGCTAAACTAGACTGGTCCAAAAAAACAAAAAATATCCCCCTAAGCATTGACAACATCTGGAATGTAGCTTTGAGCCAAGAGCGACTTTTGGACCGTCCTAAAAAGACCTTTTCAAGAGGAAAGAAGACGCCATACAAAAGCATTGGGTAATTCTCTTTCCGGGTACACCCCCACCAACCCGGAGTGAGAATGAGATTACAGCACACATGTTCATGGACCTTTTGGAGCCACTGATATACGCATGGAAAACTTTAAAAAGCAGATCTTGTTTTGAGGGTCTTTTCCTTTTCCATGAGAGAAACTGTCTAAGGAGAGCGGGGGCGGGTGGATTGTCTCGGCAAGAGGGAAGTGCTCACTGAACTCGTTGACACACATTGAGAGTTTGTGCAGTGGTTAGCTTCAGGACCTTCACAGCTGTGTTCGGTTCCATCTCCACTGTGTGTAGTTTGCATGTTCTCCCTGTTTCCTCCAGGTGCTCCGGTTTCTCCTGCCACTAAAAACATGTGCAATAGTCCACTGTGTCTTTGTTCCACTTCATATAAAGCTTTATATGAGACATCGACTCACTACAGAATTTTAAAACACTTTAAAAAAAACCAACTGTTTGACCTCGTCTTTCCTTAATTTTGATCTTCAATGTTCATTTTGTATGTTTTCTGAAGCATCTTTGAGTGTCCCAAAAACACAAGTTTCATTTATTATTATTATTATTATAATTATTATTATTATTATAATTATTATTCTTATTATAATTATTATTATTATCATTATTATTATTATTATTATTATTATAGCATGGATGGAGCTAAACAAAACACAAGGTTTGTTTTTGATGAGGAGACAAGGCTGAAACACACATATATATTAGAATGTTATCTGTTTGTTTGCTCCATAAACCAAAGTAACTTTATATCCTGCGACTTCTTGTTACAAATAACTTCTGATTCTGATAAAAAGCTTCTTTGTTCTGGCAGCATTTCAAGGTAATCTTTCCAAATGGCCCAAGGCTGTCGTCCTAAAGTCTCAGTTTCATAATTCCATCATGGATTCCACACAGATTGTAATTTGTTTCTTCTTCACTCACAAAAGAAGTTTTGTGTTTTTGTGATTCTGAAAGTGTAACAGTCAGTTTACAAAGGACACATCCTCACTTCCTCGCCCTTCCCCTTTGCTTTCTGAGTCTCCAGAACCTCTGCTTTCTGAGTCTCCAGAACCTCTGCTTTCTGAGTCTCCAGAACCTCTGCTTTCTGAGTCTCCAGAACCTCTGCCTTCTGAGTCTCCAGAACCTCTGCTTTCTGAGTCTCCAAAACCTCTGCTTTCTGAGTCTCCAGAACCTCTGCTTTCTGAGTCTCCAGAACCTCTGCTTTCTGAGTCTCCAGAACCTCTGCTTTCTGAGTCTCCAGAACCTCTGCTTTCTGAGTCTCCAGAACCTCTGCTTTCTGAGTCTCCAGAACCTCTGCCTTCTGAGTCTCCAGAACCTCTGCTTTCTGAGTCTCCAAAACCTCTGCTTTCTGAGTCTCCAGAACCTCTGCTTTCTGAGTCTCCAGAACCTCTGCTTTCTGAGTCTCCAGAACCTCTGCTTTCTGAGTCTCCAGAACCTCTGCTTTCTGAGTCTCCAGAACCTCTGCTTTCTGAGTCTCCAGAACCTCTGCCTTCTGAGTCTCCAGAACCTCTGCTTTCTGAGTCTCCAGAACCTCTGCTTTCTGAGTCTCCAGAACCTCTGCTTTCTGAGTCTCCAGAACCTCTGCTTTCTGAGTCTCCAGAACCTTTGCCTTCTGAGTCTCCAGAACCTCTGCTTTCTGAGTCTCCAGAACCTCTGCTTTCTGAGTCTCCAGAACCTCTGCTTTCTGAGTCTCCAGAACCTCTGCTTTCTGAGTCTCCAGAACCTCTGCCTTCTGAGTCTCCAGAACCTCTGCTTTCTGAGTCTCCAGAACCTCTGCTTTCTGAGTCTCCAAAACCTCTGCTTTCTGAGTCTCCAGAACCTCTGCTTTCTGAGTCTCCAGAACCTCTGCTTTCTGAGTCTCCAGAACCTCTGCTTTCTGAGTCTCCAGAACCTCTGCCTTCTGAGTCTCCAGAACCTCTGCTTTCTGAGTCTCCAGAACCTCTGCTTTCTGAGTCTCCAGAACCTCTGCTTTCTGAGTCTCCAGAACCTCTGCTTTCTGAGTCTCCAGAACCTCTGCTTTCTGAGTCTCCAGAACCTCTGCTTTCTGAGTCTCCAGAACCTCTGCTTTCTGAGTCTCCAGAACCTCTGCTTTCTGAGTCTCCAGAACCTCTGCCTTCTGAGTCTCCAGAACCTCTGCTTTCTGAGTCTCCAGAACCTCTGCTTTCTGAGTCTCCAGAACCTCTGCTTGCTGAGTCTCCAGAACCTCTGCTTTCTGAGTCTCCAGAACCTCTGCCTTCTGAGTCTCCAGAACCTCTGCCTTCTGAGTCTCTCCAGAACCTCTGCTTTCTGAGTCTCCAGAACCTCTGCTTTCTGAGTCTCCAGAACCTCTGCTTTCTGAGTCTCCAGAACCTCTGCTTTCTGAGTCTCCAGAACCTCTGCTTTCTGAGTCTCCAGAACCTCTGCTTTCTGAGTCTCCAGAACCTCTGCTTTCTGAGTCTCCAGAACCTCTGCCTTCTGAGTCTCCAGAACCTCTGCTTTCTGAGTCTCCAGAACCTCTGCTTTCTGAGTCTCCAGAACCTCTGCTTTCTGAGTCTCCAGAACCTCTGCTTTCTGAGTCTCCAGAACCTCTGCTTTCTGAGTCTCCAGAACCTCTGCTTTCTGAGTCTCCAGAACCTCTGCTTTCTGAGTCTCCAGAACCTCTGCTTTCTGAGTCTCCAGAACCTCTGCTTTCTGAGTCTCCAGAACCTCTGCCTTCTGAGTCTCCAGAACCTCTGCTTTCTGAGTCTCCAGAACCTCTGCTTTCTGAGTCTCCAGAACCTCTGCTTGCTGAGTCTCCAGAACCTCTGCTTTCTGAGTCTCCAGAACCTCTGCCTTCTGAGTCTCCAGAACCTCTGCCTTCTGAGGCTCCAGAACCTCTGCTTTCTGAGTCTCCAGAACCTCTGCCTTCTGAGTCTCCAGAACCTCTGCTTTCTGAGTCTCCAGAACCTCTGCTTTCTGAGTCTCCAGAACCTCTGCCTTCTGAGTCTCCAGAACCTCTGCTTTCTGAGTCTCCAGAACCTCTGCCTTCTGAGTCTCCAGAACCTCTGCCTTCTGAGTCTCCAGAACCTCTGCTTTCTGAGTCTCCAGAACCTCTGCTTTCTGAGTCTCCAGAACCTCTGCTTTCTGAGTCTCCAGAACCTCTGCCTTCTGAGTCTCCAGAACCTCTGCTTTCTGAGTCTCCAGAACCTCTGCTTTCTGAGTCTCCAGAACCTCTGCTTTCTGAGTCTCCAGAACCTCTGCCTTCTGAGTCTCCAGAACCTCTGCTTTCTGAGTCTCCAGAACCTCTGCTTTCTGAGTCTCCAGAACCTCTGCTTGCTGAGTCTCCAGAACCTCTGCTTTCTGAGTCTCCAGAACCTCTGCCTTCTGAGTCTCCAGAACCTCTGCCTTCTGAGTCTCCAGAACCTCTGCTTTCTGAGTCTCCAGAACCTCTGCTTTCTGAGTCTCCAGAACCTCTGCTTTCTGAGTCTCCAGAACCTCTGCTTTCTGAGTCTCCAGAACCTCTGCTTTCTGAGTCTCCAGAACCTCTGCTTTCTGAGTCTCCAGAACCTCTGCTTTCTGAGTCTCCAGAACCTCTGCCTTCTGAGTCTCCAGAACCTCTGCTTTCTGAGTCTCCAGAACCTCTGCTTTCTGAGTCTCCAGAACCTTGCTGCTTTCTGAGTCTCCAGAACCTCTGCTTTCTGAGTCTCCAGAACCTCTGCTTTCTGAGTCTCCAGAACCTCTGCTTTCTGAGTCTCCAGAACCTCTGCTTTCTGAGTCTCCAGAACCTCTGCTTTCTGAGTCTCCAGAACCTCTGCTTTCTGAGTCTCCAGAACCTCTGCCTTCTGAGTCTCCAGAACCTCTGCTTTCTGAGTCTCCAGAACCTCTGCTTTCTGAGTCTCCAGAACCTCTGCTTGCTGAGTCTCCAGAACCTCTGCTTTCTGAGTCTCCAGAACCTCTGCCTTCTGAGTCTCCAGAACCTTCTGAGCTCCAGAACCTCTGCTTCTGAGTCTCCAGAACCTCTGCTTTCTGAGTCTCCAGAACCTCTGCTTTCTGAGTCTCCAGAACCTCTGCTTTCTGAGTCTCCAGAACCTCTGCTTTCTGAGTCTCCAGAACCTCTGCTTTCTGAGTCTCCAGAACCTCTGCTTTCTGAGTCTCCAGAACCTCTGCCTTTCTGAGTCTCCAGAACCTCTGCTTTCTGAGTCTCCAGAACCTCTGCCTTCTGAGTCTCCAGAACCTCTGCTTTCTGAGTCTCCAGAACCTCTGCTTTCTGAGTCTCCAGAACCTCTGCTTTCTGAGTCTCCAGAACCTCTGCTTTCTGAGTCTCCAGAACCTCTGCTTTCTGAGTCTCCAGAACCTCTGCTTTCTGAGTCTCCAGAACCTCTGCTTTCTGAGTCTCCAGAACCTCTGCTTCTGAGTCTCCAGAACCTCTGCTTTCTGAGTCTCCAGAACCTCTGCTTTCTGAGTCTCCAGAACCTCTGCTTTCTGAGTCTCCAGAACCTCTGCTTTCTGAGTCTCCAGAACCTCTGCTTTCTGAGTCTCCAGAACCTCTGCTTTCTGAGTCTCCAGAACCTCTGCTTTCTGAGTCTCCAGAACCTCTGCTTTCTGAGTCTCCAAAACCTCTGCTTTCTGAGTCTCCAGAACCTCTGCCTTCTGAGTCTCCAGAACCTCTGCCTTCTGAGTCTCCAGAACCTCTGCTTTCTGAGTCTCCAGAACCTCTGCTTTCTGAGTCTCCAGAACCTCTGCTTTCTGAGTCTCCAGAACCTCTGCTTTCTGAGTCTCCAGAACCTCTGCTTTCTGAGTCTCCAGAACCTCTGCCTTCTGAGTCTCCAGAACCTCTGCTTTCTGAGTCTCCAGAACCTCTGCTTTCTGAGTCTCCAGAACCTCTGCTTTCTGAGTCTCCAGAACCTCTGCTTTCTGAGTCTCCAGAACCTCTGCTTTCTGAGTCTCCAGAACCTCTGCTTTCTGAGTCTCCAGAACCTCTGCCTTCTGAGTCTCCAGAACCTCTGCCTTCTGAGTCTCCAGAACCTCTGCTTTCTGAGTCTCCAGAACCTCTGCTTTCTGAGTCTCCAGAACCTCTGCTTTCTGAGTCTCCAGAACCTCTGCCTTCTGAGTCTCCAGAACCTCTGCTTTCTGAGTCTCCAGAACCTCTGCTTTCTGAGTCTCCAGAACCTCTGCCTTCTGAGTCTCCAGAACCTCTGCTTTCTGAGTCTCCAGAACCTCTGCTTTCTGAGTCTCCAGAACCTCTGCTTTCTGAGTCTCCAGAACCTCTGCTTTCTGAGTCTCCAAAACCTCTGCTTTCTGAGTCTCCAGAACCTCTGCCTTCTGAGTCTCCAGAACCTCTGCTTTCTGAGTCTCCAGAACCTCTGCTCTCTGTGTCTCCAGAACCTCTGCTGTCGGATCAGACTCTGTGGGAATCGCTGCTGAACAATGTGCTATAACTTTGTATTGCAGCTTAAAACAGTGTTTCCACATTCTCTATTTGCTGCTAAATGTTACTTACGTGGAATCATGCACATTAAAGTGTAAATGTGTCAGAACTAAACATGAGGATCTGCATTTCAGATTTTTGCGGCTAGGATTTGGGACAGTCTTCCTGAGGATGTGAGACAGGCTTCAAGTCTAGGTTAAAAACATTTCTGTCACCTGTGTATACAACAACATGATTTAACTCTGGCTATTTATGTTTTATTGTGTTTTTTAAATGCCCTTTGGGATTTTAATTGTATTTTTAATGTTTATGCAGATTTTAATGTTTACAATGTATGCCTTTTGTGATACGGGTGTGTGGCTTTGTGTGGCTTTGTGAAGGAAAAGCACTATACAAATAATAGTTGTCCTCTTATTATTATTACCTAGTAATTTCTTTGCGTTCCCATGAGTTGCCGGTTGAGCGATTGGCTTTTTCTACTCTGAGATTTACCAAATAGTTGAAATACCAAACAAAAGGCAACACGAATGCGGCCGCAGATCGTCGGAGGAGGTCACACTGAGGGGCAGATCTGACCAATCACAACACAGCGGCTAAACCTGAAGAGACGCACACAACTTTTCTCGTCTAATTTGATTTGTTGGAGAAAGTAACGTGTTGAGGGTCAAATGATCACCCTACCCCACCTTAGTAGGGTAGGGTAAGGTAGGGTAGGGTAGAGTAGAGTACGGTAGGGTAGAGTAGGGTAGGGTAGGGTAGAGTAGGATTACGTAGGCTGATGGAAACAGTGCTATGGTTAAAGCTGGGTTACCTAACTTTCAAAAAAAACAACAAAACAGATCTATGTTTTCCATGATATCTGTTTTTGACCGTTACCATAGTTACCAGTAAATGTTTCCAGCTGCCCTCCACTGCTATTTTAAACTATAGGCTCTTGTTGTTGTCATGTTGTGATGTCACATGCAGCTCTTTCCGCACAGAGACAGCCACAAAAGCATGTACCGTAATGTTTCTTTGGCTGTAAAGTTAGTTTACGGCCCCGAGTGTAGGATCTTTAAAGCGAACATCGAGGCGCGGTCGTATCTCTGGTGTGTTTTAAATCTCAGCTCTAATTAAAGCGATCGCTCGTTAAAGGACACATGTTTGCGGCAGATGGAGATGAGAGAGACCAGGGCTTCTCTCCTTCTCTGTGTTTGTTTTACATGCAGCTCGTTAGCAACATCTGAAGGACTCCCCCAGAGACATTCACTTTCAGAACATTTCCCAACAATGAAAAACACATTTACATTGTTTACATGTTGTGGGATCAAAAGACAGTATACGACATAGTTCAAAACAGGCGCATAATGTTACTGTGAATGTCTTAAAGGTGTCGTACGCAACCTTTTCTTTTAAAACTAATGTTACAAACCTTTAGTTTTATCAATAATAACAGGAGCTTATGGCACAGACTGTGTAACTCTGTTGTGTGGAACGGAGCTTTGGGCCAAGAGACAACTTTTGGTCCATCCTGTAAAGACGTTTTCGAGATGTCTGCCAATGCTATATGTTAGCATTGGCTAATTCTACTTCTGGGTCCCCCCCCACAGGCCCGGGGTGGTACTGCAGCATGTCATACCACGTCATTTTGGACACTTTTGAGCCAAAACCCACCCCCACTGGTTTTAATTGATTCTATGATCTGTGAATTTGACGGTTTTGTAAAGTCCTCTGAGATAACAAATTGATTTGAGATGTTTTTAGATAGTACTAACTTCTGGCACAACCCGTGTAGCTCCGCCCCTTCTGTCTGAAAGCCTTAGTTCTGTAATAGTGTGATGTCATAGTTCCCCTGTGATAGTGATAAGGTAAGTCGATAGATACTGTATGTTAACCAAAGTAAATGGTCTCTTTTTTGTATTCAATGGCCAAAAGTGATGCATAATATGTCTTCTTTAAAACAATATGTCAAACCGTTTCTGGCCAAGTCCGCTCTGGGGTCATAACTTTACAAATGAATAGGGTTTTATAATGAAATCGCTGCTCGTCCACCCACTTTTCTCATATCCTGCTTTTGAAATTGTTTGTTTGAACGCATGCACAGCTTCAGTCGTACAACGTTCAGAGATTTAATGAAAGAATAGTTCTGATGTACAAGATTTCTGGTTCAAATAATGCCAACAATTTGTAACATTACTCCAGACACAGCCTGGAAGGTGGCTTCAGCGTTGCTCAAATATCTAGGTTGACTTTTGCCAAACAGGCTTCCTTCTCAGAATCAGAATTATTTGTATTGTCATTAAAAGTAACGGGAAGTCACAAACTAGTAGTAGTAACAATCTGTTTAGGACGACACTAAACATGAGAAGGATTTTATCTTAATTTGAGCACATTCTGAAGATTTGCCAATGAGACAATGCCATTTAGTCTGATTTTGAGAACTGTTTGTGTATTTTGTTGTATCTTTTCATCACCATTTTGTATGTCCTATTGGCAGTCTTTGTTTTAAAGCAGGCAAAATATGCTTGAATTAATATAGATTTAACCAAATTTGAGAAATGTTTGACTTATTGTGCATCACTCTGTGCAGTGTAAGAGTAAAAAAGTCTTCCTAGCATTAGTATTTAGAAATGAGACATACTAAAATTACCACAATATACAAGTGCACCAGGTACCATAGGCAATAACCAGTAGTGACAGATCTAAACATAATATAAATGCTAAACTATGGAATACCAAAGTCTTCACAAAACCTCAAACAGTGTCCTTAAACTTTTCCAGTGGCAAAGGCTGGAAAATGACACACACAAAAGTAGCATTTGTGTGGAAATGGGTGGAGAAGGCAGGGTTCATTCACACTGAGACCGCGGCGTCTTTACCATCTCAATAATCCGCCGTGATTCATTTTTGATTTATTGCCAGAGAATAAGGAGGCAGTGTGCTCCATCGCCGCTCCGACAGAAAGAAGCGGGGACAGGAATTTCTATTGGCCTCTCCCCAAAACACAAGAGTTATGACGGGAAAAGGCAATTCTCTATTCGGCCATTACCAGAGACAACTTTGGATGGAATACTTTCACACAGATGTTTTAAGTCTGTGAAAGAGAAATATGAAATTGACTTTAGGATTTAAACATTCTGGACTTTCACAGTGACCACCCACGACCAGAGCATGTCCATTCACAGACTCAAACCTACACAGACATGCTTTTTATCTCATGACCAATAATTATAGAAATGCATATCTGCCCAAAGCTTTATAAACTTTAAACATTGTAGTGACACATATTTACACTAATATTTGAAGTTTTTCATGTTTTTTTGTTGCGTTGAATCTAACCACATCATTGTTGGTTGTTTAGACTTGTGTCAAACCTACTCTGAGGATCTATGGGGAAAATGCATGAGAGATTAACTACAGAAATCTCAGTGAGCCAAAACGTTTTTCTCTACCAGCAAGTAAAGCATATCCATGAATCCAGTAAAAATGTCATACCTTTTATAGCTACATGGAAGTCATCTCCACTTTGTCATGTTTGTGGATGCTGGATGCACAACAACAGGAATAAACATATCTTAAAGTTGCCATAGTTATCACACATCTGTAAAAAGCTAAATGATTACCATTTCTCCATCGAAGAATCAATAAAGATCACTTAATACTGACTGTGTGTCCGCTGCTATACTTTACAGGCTATGACATAAATTCTTTCTAAATCCATCTCAGAGATCCATCAATGAATGTTAACGATGTACTCACACTAACGTTCTGATGGCCTACTGCTCGCAAACCCATGGAACATGTTGTAATCACGTCGGTTCACCACAAGCCCCTGATTATCGTCATTAAAACTGAAGAGCTCCCTCAATCTAATCGCTTTCTCGACTCTAAAACAACACTGGAAAATATAAAGACGTTGCTATTTTCTTTCCCTAAAGTTCCCCTCAGAACTGATTGTGCGGGAAGTCTTCCAAAAGCCACGGAAAAGCAACTCTCCTCTTCTCTCGGACCTTAATTGGAAACACATCAGCGTTTCGTCCGATTCATTAATTCTAAGGAAATTGACGAGTTTAAGCTGCAACAACACGATGATGGCTCTGCACAGAAGCCGCAGAGAAAAGAGGATTCTGGGACGAGTCAGACGGAGGTCGGTCGACTCCTGCGATCCTCAGATATAAACACAGACCGGGTTTACAAGCTTCACCGTGATGCTCCCAGAGAAGACACGTCCAACACGGGGCTAAGACAACACTCAGCAACAGTATGTTTGGAAAAACTATGGAAGATGTTTTGTGTTATCCCAATTTGAATTATAAAATTACCTTTTCCATTTGAAGTTTTTAATCATGAAAAAACTTGTTTGAGTAATTTTTGTCTTTGCATTTCAGTCTCTAAAAATTCACTTTCTGCAATGTCAGCAAAAAGTTTAGTAAGAAAGTCAAAAGTCCTACTATCTCTGATCAGACCACGGATCAAAACAGCAATCAGCAGTTTTTTCTCTCACATTTCACAGATTCTAAAATGGAAGGTAAAAGAACTGCAACATGGAGGAAATCTGTGAAAAGTCAGAAATACATTTATTGTTCTTTTGAAAAATTTATCAGGCTTAAAAATCACCTTTTGTTTGCTTACATTAACTCTCTCCTGCGGTGAATGAAAACAGGAAGTGTGCTAAAACCCAAAACCAATCACAAACACAAACAAGAGGAGTTTACTCAATAATTGCGTGACGCTGCAGTCTGGAATTTCACACTGATAAAAAAGACTCGACCCCAGACACTGCTGCAGAGAAGCCTCACAGTCTCAGCTTTAAAACACATTCTCAGGGTGGTTTCATTCATTGCATTGAAAATAACCATATGGCAAGTTGAGTGTGTCATCCAGCCAACTTCAGCTCCCCCAATATATATATGTTGTAAGTAATTTAGGAATGTTTATTTATATAGCGCATTATACCGACCAAGGTCAAAGGGCTTTACAATTTTCTCCATTGCATCAAAGCCTCCAACCTACTCCATCCATTCACATGTTTTTAATGGTAGGGGAAACTGGAGCACCCGGAGGAAACCTACGCGGACACAGGGAGAAGATGCAAACTCCACACAGAAAGGCCTGGAGCGGAAATCGAGCCCCCCAGAACTGTAGCTCATTGTGAAGCTCAGAACCTCTGCAATGTCATCAACTTTAGTTAGACCATAGACTGTAAATATTAACAGACAGTCACGCATATCTCCGCTGTTCTAACTAATGGGCCAAAAATATTGCTCTACTGGAGCTATCCAAAAAGGCCGGGAGTGGTCCCGCCTACAAGAAAATTGTGAAAAAACACATCTGTGCATGCGTCAGCTGCACGAGCTCCATTCATTTAAAGGAGAGACTTCTAAAGTCCACAGCGACTAAACTAGACTGGTCCAGAACACTCAGCATTGACACACATGTGGAACGGAGCTTTGGGCCAAGAGCCGACTTTTGGACCATCCTCTAAAGACGTTTTCCAGAGGTAAGGAGATGCTATATGTTAGAATTGGCTAATTCTTATTCCGGGTCCACCCCCACAGGCCCGGGGTGGTACTGCAGCATGTCAGCGCACGTCATTTTGGCCACTTTGGATCCGGGACCCGCCCCCACTGCTACATACGTACCATTGTGGCACAAAATTGCGTCAATAATGCTAATGTGAGAAAATATAAACATTTGTCATTCAGCCCACTTCAGCTCCATCGAATGTGAATCAGTATGGACATGTCTCATTGGATAAAGTAGGAACGGCCCGACTTCAGTCAGAATTGTTTTTATAATCTAAGCCTCAGGGAAATTCTGGTCTTGTTACTAAAGTGTTTTTTTATAGAAAAGTTCAAATAAGTTCAAAATTTACTGATCTCACAGTCGAGAAATGTGACTGTTACATTTGGCATCAATAGGACCACTCAGGTGTGCAAAAGCAAGAAATGTGCGAAAGCAAGAAATGTGCGAAAACAAGAAATGTGCAAAAGCAAGAAATGTGCAAAAGCAGAAAACATGTTAAAAAGTGACAAAGATATCTATTGTATCTAAGGTATTTTAAGTACAAATTGAAAAAGAGCCTATAGCCAGGCAAAGTTCTTAAAATCTTAAATGTTGTCTCATCAACTCTTTGTAAAATCTGGTTTTCTTTGGAAACTCTCGTACAAAGGTACAATCAGCACAATGCAAAACCTGGGAACCAAAAACCTCCAACTGGGAAACAAGTCTGCATAGTTCTATCTTGTGTGAACTTATTTCCAACAGAAGAAAACATCCAGCCTTTAAACTTTGAAACCAAATAAACACACAGGAGATTGGCTAAATTGGCTGAAAGTGCAACAGCAAAGCAGGCCATCCAATATTTATGCAATGTCAGGACTCCACACCTTCCTCAAATTAGCATCCATCTCTCTCACTGTGAACTCTCTGAAGCCTAGCAACGATTTATCCATTCATAAATCAGCAACTCAGCAGCATCTTGGGCGACCGCATTCAAATCCAGAATGTAAACACCAGAGAAGGTCCACATACCGTCCAGCTGCAGGAAGCACCGTCCGCAGCGGAGCAGAAATAATCCCACAAAAACCCAAGGAACCAATCTGTACAAAAGGCACAACAGGTTTAGGGTCACATTTTTTTAGAAGCTAGAAGCAAAGATGTGGCGGAAATAGCAGAGGTTTCATTTACCGGGGAGTCATTCTTGGAGGAGGTTAAAGACGTCCAGTGCATGTGGAGGAGGAAGGGTCCACACTGGTGCGTCCTGCAAAAGGCAAACTCAGACTTGCTTGTTGCCCCGGCCCACTGCTCTGAGAGAGAGAGAGAGAGAGAGAGAGTGGAGGGGGCAGGTTTAACAAAGCAGCTTCAGTGCAGGAGTGAGGCCCATGTCCCACTGAAACTCGACACCTCTGCACAGCCTCCGCCCGGCCCCCTCCTGCTCCGAGGAGATAGGAAGGAATCAGGGAAAAATATCATGTTGTATCAAAGCTATTTACCTTTTTGAAGAGGTGGCACTCTTGCCTCTCAGCAAGAACGTCCTGGGTTCAAATCCTGGTCGGACCAGGGCCTTTCTGAGTGGAGTTTGCATGTTCTCCCTGTGTCTGCATAATAGGACTGGCCTCGCTCCTATCTCTGTGTGGAGTGAGAGACAAATGCCCAAAAATAACAATTGTAAACCGCTTTGTGACTCTGTGAAAGGCGGTATATAAATAAAGATTACTTCCTTAATTAGGCAAGTTTATTTGTTTTGTTGAACAAAACAAGATAGAGACAGTCACAAGGCATTCAATAATGAGAGTTCATAAAAAGTGAAGATAAAATCCCTAGAAACGTTAGAACAGAACCAGCCTGGCCTTAGCCATCCGTTCACTCCGCTCAGTCATCATGTACTGTATGTACTGTCTGTACTGTCTGTACTGTATGTACTGTCTGTACTGTATGTACTGTCTGTACTGTCTGTACTGTATGTACTGTCTGTACTGTATGTACTGTATGTACTGTCTGTACTGTCTGTACTGTATGTACTGTCTGTACTGTCTGTACTGTATGTACTGTATGTACTGCCTGTACTGTATGTACTGTATGTACTGCCTGTACTGTATGTACTGTCTGTACTGTCTGTACTGTCTGTACTGTCTGTACTGTCTGTACTGTATGTACTGTCTGTACTGTCTGTACTGTATGTACTGTCTGTACTGTCTGTACTGTATGTACTGTCTGTACTGTCTGTACTGTATGTACTGTATGTACTGTATGTACTGTCTGTACTGTATGTACTGTCTGTACTGTCTGTACTGTATGTACTGTCTGTACTGTATGTACTGTATGTACTGTCTGTACTGTATGTACTGTCTGTACTGTATGTACTGTCTGTACTGTATGTACTGTATGTACTGTCTGTACTGTCTGTACTGTCTGTACTGTATGTACTGTATGTACTGTATGTACTGTCTGTACTGTATGTACTGTCTGTACTGTATGTACTGTATGTACTGTCTGTACTGTCTGTACTGTATGTACTGTATGTACTGTCTGTACTGTATGTACTGTCTGTACTGTCTGTACTGTATGTACTGTCTGTACTGTATGTACTGTATGTACTGTCTGTACTGTCTGTACTGTATGTACTGTCTGTACTGTATGTACTGTATGTACTGCCTGTACTGTATGTACTGTCTGTACTGTCTGTACTGTATGTACTGTCTGTACTGTCTGTACTGTATGTACTGTATGTACTGTCTGTACTGTATGTACTGTCTGTACTGTATGTACTGTATGTACTGTATGTACTGTATGTACTGTCTGTACTGTCTGTACTGTATGTACTGTATGTACTGTATGTACTGTCTGTACTGTATGTACTGTCTGTACTGTCTGTACTGTATGTACTGTCTGTACTGTATGTACTGTATGTACTGTCTGTACTGTATGTACTGTCTGTACTGTCTGTACTGTATGTACTGTATGTACTGTCTGTACTGTATGTACTGTCTGTACTGTCTGTACTGTATGTACTGTATGTACTGTCTGTACTGTCTGTACTGTCTGTACTGTATGTACTGTCTGTACTGTCTGTACTGTATGTACTGTCTGTACTGTCTGTACTGTCTGTACTGTCTGTACTGTATGTACTGTATGTACTGTCTGTACTGTATGTACTGTATGTACTGTATGTACTGTATGTACTGTATGTACTGTCTGTACTGTATGTACTGTCTGTACTGTCTGTACTGTATGTACTGTATGTACTGTCTGTACTGTATGTACTGTCTGTACTGTCTGTACTGTATGTACTGTCTGTACTGTCTGTACTGTATGTACTGTATGTACTGTCTGTACTGTATGTACTGTCTGTACTGTCTGTACTGTCTGTACTGTCTGTACTGTATGTACTGTATGTACTGTATGTACTGTCTGTACTGTATGTACTGTCTGTACTGTATGTACTGTCTGTACTGTCTGTACTGTATGTACTGTCTGTACTGTCTGTACTGTCTGTACTGTATGTACTGTCTGTACTGTATGTACTGTATGTACTGTCTGTACTGTATGTACTGTCTGTACTGTATGTACTGTATGTACTGTATGTACTGCCTGTACTGTATGTACTGTATGTACTGCCTGTACTGTATGTACTGTATGTGCTGTCTGTACTGTATGTACTGTATGTACTGTATGTACTGTCTGTACTGCCTGTACTGTATGTACTGTATGTACTGTATGTACTGTCTGTACTGTATGTACTGTATGTACTGCCTGTACTGTATGTACTGTCTGTACTGTCTGTACTGTATGTACTGTCTGTACTGTCTGTACTGTATGTACTGTATGTACTGTCTGTACTGTATGTACTGTCTGTACTGTCTGTACTGTCTGTACTGTATGTACTGTATGTACTGTATGTACTGTCTGTACTGTATGTACTGCCTGTACTGTCTGTACTGTCTGTACTGTATGTACTGTCTGTACTGTATGTACTGTCTGTACTGTCTGTACTGTCTGTACTGTCTGTACTGTATGTACTGTATGTACTGTATGTACTGTCTGTACTGTCTGTACTGTATGTACTGTATGTACTGCCTGTACTGTATGTACTGTCTGTACTGTATGTACTGTCTGTACTGTCTGTACTGTATGTACTGTATGTACTGTCTGTACTGTCTGTACTGTATGTACTGTCTGTACTGTCTGTACTGTATGTACTGTATGTACTGTCTGTACTGTATGTACTGTCTGTACTGTCTGTACTGTATGTACTGTATGTACTGTCTGTACTGTATGTACTGTATGTACTGTATGTACTGTCTGTACTGTATGTACTGTCTGTACTGTCTGTACTGTATGTACTGTATGTACTGTCTGTACTGTCTGTACTGTATGTACTGTCTGTACTGTCTGTACTGTATGTACTGTATGTACTGTCTGTACTGTATGTACTGTCTGTACTGTCTGTACTGTATGTACTGTATGTACTGTATGTACTGTATGTACTGTCTGTACTGTATGTACTGTCTGTACTGTCTGTACTGTATGTACTGTATGTACTGTATGTACTGTATGTACTGTCTGTACTGTATGTACTGTCTGTACTGTCTGTACTGTATGTACTGTATGTACTGTCTGTACTGTCTGTACTGTATGTACTGTATGTACTGTCTGTACTGTCTGTACTGTCTGTACTGTATGTACTGTCTGTACTGTATGTACTGTCTGTACTGTCTGTACTGTATGTACTGTATGTACTGTCTGTACTGTCTGTACTGTATGTACTGTATGTACTGTATGTACTGTCTGTACTGTATGTACTGTATGTACTGTCTGTACTGTCTGTACTGTATGTACTGTCTGTACTGTATGTACTGTCTGTACTGTATGTACTGTCTGTACTGTCTGTACTGTCTGTACTGTATGTACTGTCTGTACTGTATGTACTGTATGTACTGTCTGTACTGTCTGTACTGTATGTACTGTATGTACTGTATGTACTGTCTGTACTGTATGTACTGTCTGTACTGTCTGTACTGTATGTACTGTCTGTACTGTATGTACTGTCTGTACTGTCTGTACTGTATGTACTGTATGTACTGTCTGTACTGTCTGTACTGTATGTACTGTATGTACTGTCTGTACTGTCTGTACTGTCTGTACTGTCTGTACTGTATGTACTGTATGTACTGTATGTACTGTATGTACTGTCTGTACTGTATGTACTGCCTGTACTGTATGTACTGTATGTACTGTCTGTACTGTATGTACTGTATGTACTGTATGTACTGTCTGTACTGTCTGTACTGTATGTACTGTATGTACTGTATGTACTGTCTGTACTGTATGTACTGTATGTACTGCCTGTACTGTATGTACTGTCTGTACTGTCTGTACTGTCTGTACTGTATGTACTGTATGTACTGTATGTACTGTCTGTACTGTATGTACTGTATGTACTGTCTGTACTGTCTGTACTGTCTGTACTGTATGTACTGTATGTACTGTATGTACTGTATGTACTGTCTGTACTGTCTGTACTGTATGTACTGTATGTACTGTATGTACTGTCTGTACTGTATGTACTGTATGTACTGCCTGTACTGTATGTACTGTCTGTACTGTCTGTACTGTCTGTACTGTATGTACTGTATGTACTGTATGTACTGTCTGTACTGTCTGTACTGTATGTACTGTATGTACTGTATGTACTGTCTGTACTGTCTGTACTGTATGTACTGTATGTACTGTCTGTACTGTCTGTACTGTCTGTACTGTATGTACTGTATGTACTGTATGTACTGTCTGTACTGTCTGTACTGTATGTACTGTATGTACTGTATGTACTGTCTGTACTGTATGTACTGTATGTACTGTATGTACTGTATGTACTGTCTGTACTGTATGTACTGTATGTACTGTATGTACTGTCTGTACTGTCTGTACTGTATGTACTGTCTGTACTGTCTGTACTGTCTGTACTGTCTGTACTGTCTGTACTGTATGTACTGTATGTACTGTCTGTACTGTCTGTACTGTATGTACTGTATGTACTGTATGTACTGTCTGTACTGTCTGTACTGTATGTACTGTATGTACTGTCTGTACTGTCTGTACTGTATGTACTGTCTGTACTGTCTGTACTGTATGTACTGTATGTACTGTCTGTACTGTCTGTACTGTATGTACTGTATGTACTGTATGTACTGTCTGTACTGTATGTACTGTATGTACTGTCTGTACTGTCTGTACTGTCTGTACTGTCTGTACTGTATGTACTGTCTGTACTGTCTGTACTGTCTGTACTGTATGTACTGTATGTACTGTATGTACTGTCTGTACTGTATGTAGTTTGGCAATGGTGGAGAATGTGAATAATCTGGTCTGGTTCTATCAAGAAACCAGATGGCTAGGCTAAATGCTAAATGCTAACGACTCACTCGGGCTCCAAGAGAAATCTGCGTCTGTCAAAGCCAAAGAGTCGAGAATGTGAGTCATGCTGCGAGTGTCTCCAGAGCGAGGTCGAGGAGGATCCGAGAGGAACCTTCAGACTCAGAGGAACCTTCAGACTCAGAGGAACCTTCAGACTCAGAGGAACCTTCAGACTCAGAGGAACCTTCAGACTCAGAGGAACCTTCAGACTCAGAGGAACCTTCAGACTCAGAGGAACCTTCAGACTCAGAGGAACCTTCAGACTCAGAGGAACCTTCAGACTCAGAGGAACCTTCAGACTCAGAGGAACCTTCAGACTCAGAGGAACCTTCAGACTCAGAGGAACCTTCAGACTCAGAGGAACCTTCAGACTCAGAGGAACCTTCAGACTCAGAGGAACCTTCAGACTGACGGACCACAGCCTCCAGCAGGTGAGAGACTTCGACTTTAGTATTAGTACTGATTTTATGAGTAATCTTTATTTATATAGCGCCTTCACAGACCGTAGGCACAAAGCACTTTACCATCGTGGGGATTTGCTCTGGCTCCACAGAGAGGCACATGCCACACCTTTGCACATGTTTTTAGTGATGGGGAACCTGGAGGGTACACAAACACGAGGAGAACATGCAAACTCCACTCAGAGAGACCCTATTCTGACCAGGATTTGAACCCAGGACCTTCTTGCTGAGAAGCGAGAGTGATAACTTCTCAGCCACTTTGAGAATGTCACAGCATTTCTCACAAAGAGAAATTAAATATATTCAAAGAAAGAATAAAAGGCAACTCCAGTGAAAAACCATGAATCCTCTCTGCTCTGGTCTGGACCAGTGTAAAACCATGAATCCTCTCTGCTCTGGTCTGGACCAGTGTAAAACCATGAATCCTCTCTGTTCTGGTCTGGACCAGTGTAAAACCATGAATCCTCTCTGCTCTGGTCTGGACCAGTGTAAAACCATGAATCCTCTCTGCTCTGCTCTGGACCAGTGTAAAACCATGAATCCTCTCTGCTCTGGTCTGGACCAGTGTAAAACCATGAATCCTCTCTGCTCTGCTCTGGACCAGTGTAAAACCATGAATCCTCTCTGCTCTGGTCTGGACCAGTGTAAAACCATGAATCCTCTCTGCTCTGGTCTGGACCAGTGTAAAACCATGAATCCTCTCTGCTCTGGTTTGGACCAGTGTAAAACCATGAACCCTCTCTGCTCTGGTCTGGACCAGTGTAAAACCATGAATCCTCTCTGCTCTGGTCTGGACCAGTGTAAAACCATGAATCCTCTCTGCTCTGGTTTGGACCAGTGTAAAACCATGAACCCTCTCTGCTCTGGTCTGGACCAGTGTAAAACCATGAATCCTCTGCTCTGGTCTGGACCAGTGTAAAACCATGAATCCTCTCTGCTCTGGTCTGGACCAGTGTAAAACCATGAATCCTCTCTGCTCTGGTCTGGACCAGTGTAAAACCATGAATCCTCTCTGCTCTGGTCTGGACCAGTGTAAAACCATGAATCCTCTCTGCTCTGGTCTGGACCAGTGTAAAACCATGAATCCTCTCTGCTCTGGTCTGGACCAGTGTAAAACCATGAATCCTCTCTGCTCTGGTCTGGACCAGTGTAAAACCATGAATCCTCTCTGCTCTGGTCTGGACCAGTGTAAAACCATGAATCCTCTCTGCTCTGGTCTGGACCAGTGTAAAACCATGAATCCTCTCTGCTCTGGTCTGGACCAGTGTAAAACCATGAATCCTCTCTGCTCTGGTCTGGACCAGTGTAAAACCATGAATCCTCTCTGCTCTGGTCTGGACCAGTGTAAAACCATGAACTACAGCAACATTTACAGGTAGAAAAAAAAACAATTCTAAAACTCAAAACAACAATAGTTTCAGCTTCGCTCGTGCTGTAGTCACTTTGTGGATGAGTAAATCTATTTTGTTGATATTGATTTCTATATATTTGCCCATAATTAATAGAATTATTATTTTTTGTAATGGAGACTATGTGGAATTGGTTTGAACCAGAAGTTATTGAAATGTAAAGTGGTAAATCTGGTGTGAACACACTTAAGGGGTTGCCAAGGGAACCATTTCAGACCATTTCAACAATACAATTTTAATATATAAAAAAAAACTAAATAAAAACAGTAAGAGAAATGCCCAAATAAAAATTATTTGTCTAAAAAGAAAATTAAATTACTAAAAGTCCACAGTGCAAGGGCGGGTCCACTTTAACTTGGCAGTTGTTCACATATTTACATTCTGAACAACTGAAATTTGTTTCAGAAATATAACACAAAATGTAACAACATATAAATGATGAGTTTAAATTCTCAATGTGTATTTTTTCTTTATATCTTTCATTCATTTAAAGGAGCAGTTTGTAAACGTGTGGCCAAAAGTGGTACTGCAGCCTCTCCCACTGTCCCTGACTCAGGTTGCCAGATATGCAGACGAATCCAGCTGGGACCATAACAGCTGAATAGACAAGAGTTTTGTCAACAACAAATCTATAACCAACACCTTTTTCACAAAGATAGAAATCCTGGTTTTATTCCTTGTTTTGTCGTTAATGATTTGAGAATCATAACGAGACCTTTTTTTAGTTCTGCGCCACATGGTACTTTACCAGTGAGATTAGCTCCACATGGTACTTTACCAGTGAGATTATCTCCACGCGGTGAGTTCTGGCGCCCGGATCACAGACTTTCTGATTGGTGAAACGGTGGAGGGCGGGACATCAAAATGAAAACAATAACAAGATTTAGAGGCTGGAAAAGTAATTTAGAAATTCAAATATCTCTGAACGACTGTTATCAGTTAAAGAAGGATTGGAAAAGAACATGTTTATTATTATGACAGATTAGGGCCCTTTAATGATGACAGATTAGATTAGGGCCCTTTAATGATGACAGATTAGGGCCTTTAATGATGACAGATTAGGGCCCTTTAATGACAGATTAGGGCCCTTTAATGACAGATTAGGGCCCTTTAATGATGACAGATTAGGGCCCTTTAATGATGACAGATTAGATTAGGGCCCTTTAATGATGACAGATTAGGGCCTTTAATGATGACAGATTAGGGCCCTTTAATGATGACAGATTAGGGCCCTTTAATGACAGATTAGATCCTTTAGGGCCCTTTAATGATGACAGATTAGGGCCCTTTAATGACAGATTGGGGCCCTTTAATGATGACAGATTAGGGCCCTTTAATGATGACAGATTAGGGCCTTTAATGATGACAGATTAGGTCCTTTAATGATGACTTGACTTGAATATCTTACATGTTGCTTCTTTAACATGGCGTGCTAACTGTTTTACATCAATAGGAAAAATGCAGTGTTTACCTTGAGGAGCTGCCTCAGGTGAAACATTCGGGGCCAAGACGGTGTTATCTGCCTCCAGAAATCTGAGATAAAAACAGAATAATCTGTTAAAGCCTTCGTTAAATGACTCTTTCTGTGAGTTCCTCGGAGAATGTGAGGAATCCAAACACTGCTGCTGTGATGCCTGATGGCTCTGTTTGCTGATAACCAGAGACATGCTGCTGCGATAATGAATGTTGCTTTAAATCTCTTTGAGCTCTTAAAGACTCTCTTAGTGCTGCTGTTTGCCCAATGCCCCCCGCTGAGTCCAAGGACACGTCAGAGAGTGGGAGAAGCGCTCAACAGAAAAGGAGGAGTTCACATCAGCATTAGCCTGGCCTTAGTCATCCGTAAACTCTGGTCAATTATTTCCTTGTACGTCTCGGTCTGATCCTAGTGGCTGCAGTTACCTCGGTTGTATTCCATCCGACCAATCAGCGAGCACAATTATCGTGTTTTAAAAAGATACAAGAAATGTGTCCCTTGGAATTAGAAAATGAAGCAAAAGTTCCTGAATTAAGATCGAATGGCTTTGTCAGACTGAATAAAAAAAATACTGGATTTACCACTGTTGTTATCTTACCATAATGTATCATTTTTTGCAGTGTATTTATATATGCATCAAGGAAATTAGGCCGTTTATATATGTACGGGATACTGGAGTCTTGTGCCATGATTTAACCTCACGCATCACCACAAGCTTGCCGACATTAAACAGACAATAGTGTTGAGTTTTGTGCCAAGTTGAAATGAATGCATCGCTCTAATGGCCGATGACTCAACGCTTCCACATCAGAATAAACAAAATATGACCAAGTTTGGCTTGAATGACTCACACAACAGAATAATTGATCTTATCTGCCGTGGCAAATATGTGTTGTTTTTTTCCTGCTATTGAGAACAACAATGTTTATGCACAGGTCTCTATAGTCACAGGATTTATAGGAGGGTGAAAGATTTGTAATTTTTGGTAATTGGGGAGGCAGCGTTTCAGATTCATGCTGCCAAAATCTGTAAGTCTTCCTGAAAGTGTGAGAAGGGCTTCTTCTCTGAATCTCAAATCTAGGTTCTGTTTAGCCGTGCATACCATGGATCTATAATAATAACTGGATAGTGTATTACCACCCATGGCCACAGGGGGCGCTGTGGTACTGCAGACTAAATTCACGAGGGCTACGCAGAAAATAGTCCCATAGAACTCAATGTAAACTAAAACAGCTTGACCTCAGCTGACAGAGAACCTGACAGAGAACCTGACAGAGAACCTGACAGAGAAACTGACAGAGAACCTGACAGAGAACCTACAGAGAACCTGACAGAGAACCTGACAGAGAACCTACAGAGAACCTGACAGAGAACCTACAGAGAACCTGACAGAGAACCTGACAGAGAACCTGACAGAGAACCTGACAGAGAACCTGACAGAGAACCTGACAGAGAACCTGACAGAGAACCTGACAGAGAACCTGACAGAGAACCTGACAGAGAACCTGACAGAGAACCTGACAGAGAACCTGACAGAGAACCTGACAGAGAACCTGACAGAGAACCTGACAGAGAACCTGACAGAGAACCTACAGCTTTCATAAAGATCAGATTATGTGTGGATGTTAGTGTCCCTTGTCGTCCTGAACTTTTCTTAAATCCTTCGGTTTTCTTTAAATCCACACTTTACTGCCACAAACTCTGCTTGATCGTCTCTCGCTCTGACTCCGCTCTGATCAGCAGCTCTGATTGGTGCCCCTCTGTCAACGTGCATGAGAGCCACTTACACAAAGCTGGCGCAATGCATCATGGGAGCTCGTCCGCTGTGCAGAACCGGGAGGACCAGATGATGCCCAAATATGGGCATGTTCAAATGAACATGCCCATATTTGGGCATGTTCATTTGAACATGCCCAAATATGGGCATGTTCAAATGAACATGCGTTCATTTGAATAGGGCGCCATCTTGGATCACCGGGGCTTGGTAAAGACAACTGAGGGATTTAATCTTTACTCTTTTTAATTTAACTCTGTGATTATTTATGCCTTGTATGATTGTCCATCCATCCATTTTCTTCCGCTTCATCCGTTGCCGGGTCGCGGGGGC